CTGCTCTGTAGGTTGTAGCTGCTAAAGTTTTGCTTAAATTAATATTTAGACTTGTCAGCTCTAATGTCTCCCGTTGTACTACCCTATGAGAGAAACTGGTTGAGGAGGGGAATATAACTGCTACTAATTTACTTTAAAAAAAAATAAAAAAAAATCAAGTACCTTGTAACCTCAACCCCTAAACTGTAGAATGTGAAACAGATATTTTCCAAATACCTAAATACTTCTGTTTTAGATACTTAACACAGACATTGAGCCCTGAGGTCCACTTATTAGGTTTTAGAATTTGAATTGAAATATGTGGCTAGAATGGAACTTGTGCCACTTATGCTTTTATTTGAACAAGATTAAAATGTTTCTTACCTACTGTACACAATAGTAGGAGGCCACTCTTCAATGACTATGTCGGGATCCGATGGCTGAGGTGGTTGCCCCTGCAATTGTTCAGGCAAGTAGTATGCTACTGTCACAGAACGTGTGATCTCAGATCGATGTTCATTTGTATGCACTATAGTCACAATGGGTATAGTTAAGCCAAGGTACAAACCTGAAGAAAAATACATGACCGTTACGTTGAAGAAGAGAAGGTAGAACTCTTGTATTCTATATGCATGAATTTTTAACCTGTGCTAAATAAACTAAACTCACTTTTTAATGAATCAAAGCATCATGTAACAGGCAAGGTCCTATAGCAGAATGGAATTCAGTAGGTTTTAAAAATGGCAGCATGGTATGGATGGTTGGAGGTTATTGGTATCCTCCTGTGCTCTGAAATGCAGTGCCAGTATCAAACACTGTGTTCTGAGAACTGCCCTCCCCTTAATGCTGAACACTTGGCTCTTACCAAGTTTAATCTGGCAAGTTTGCACATACCTTACATGCTTGGGGTTTTTGTGTTTTTAACCCAGCCACATGCAAAATGTTGTACATCTAGGAACTAGAAATGCAGGTCATTCCTACAGAATGGGGACTGCCCCTTGGAAAGTAGTGGCTTAGGGGAAAGGATTTACTGGTTTGAGTTACCAAGCAGCTCGCCGTGTGTTCCAAATACCATGCTGTGGGAGAAGAAAGAGGGGTAATGCAGCCTTTGAAAGTATGAATGCAGGAATAGTGAGAGAAATAGATGCTACTTCTGTGTGAAGCACTGAGATGGGTACTGTAATACTGTAGACTGTTCTGATTTTTTTTTTAGAAATTTGGAGAAGGTTTGGGAAAGAGCCCAGAAAAATTATTTTAGGATTGGAGACGATGCCTCAGTGGGAGAAGCTTGGTGCTAAATCTGCTTAGCTTTTCAGGGAAAAAGAGAGAGAAAGGACTTGATTGCAGCACAGGAGTAACTTCCTAGAAAAGTGAGTACTGAAGGGCATTTTAATCTAGTGGAGAGAGAGGCATAACCGGAACTGATGTCTCAGAGCTGAAACTGAACAAACTCAAATAGGAAATTATTGTTCAGCTTGAGATTGGATGGCCTGTCTGGAAGATGCGTTTTAAGCAACTAGGTAATTGGTATCAGTACAGAGGTGAAATGTAATGGTCAGACTTGATAATCCAATATTTTTTTCAGGCCGTGCACTTTTAATTGCGTCTTCAAACACTCTTTAAATTCTGTTCTATTAATTAGAAACATCTATTTGATATTTCTATATTAAATAGAAATAATACCAGATACCCTTTTAAAATTGTTTTTAAAGTATTTTTTTTTTGTTAGTGTTGGCAAATTTCTAAGTGCCAGGTATTGCACAAAAACAGGCAGTCCAGCCTCAAACAGCATGTCATTGATAAGGTGTTGCAGAATCACTTGACTGTGGTGGTGGTGGCCTGATCTGTTTGTGTAATTTTGACTGGATTGGTGGTCTAGCTGGGAACTGAATGATCTCTGGAGAGTTGTGTATTTAGAAGCGATTGGCATAGATCATCTTAAAATTCATGGGAAGGGGGCTGCGTTCTTATTCTGATGCAGAAGAGCTATCCGCAGTTACCTGAAGAGTTCTGCTCACAAATGTATTTCATAAGCTTCATAAATCCCAGGCATATACTCTGTTCATACTGTTCTTCTTTCATTGTGATACAAGCCCATTTGGCTTTTCCATACTGACGTTTTTCGTAAAGCAACTCTCCATGCTGCAAGCAAAGTCAGACAATGAACTGATATTTTAGTTTGACAGTAAGGTATAGGAAAGGTAGTTTATCAGCCGAGAGCATCGGTGTTTTCTTTTAAGTCAAATGGTTTGCTCACCTTACAAGGAAAACAGCAAATCCGTATAAGGGCAAAACAATGAAAAGAACAACTGGTGACTTGCATTAAGCTGTATCTTGTGAAATATGCAAAAATGTGACAGTTTTACTGCTGAGTCTGTCTTGGTCATAACTGATTTTTATTTTTTTTAAATGGATGTTTTGAGGTTCTAGTGGTCTTTATAGTATCCTCACTATTAAATAGATGCTCATTAAAAAAAACCCACTGCCCTGCTTGTGTACAGAATGAAACTGGAGTCCCATGGAAAGGTAGTTTGTGGTCATGTTATTTGTTACTGTATCATAATATATGGGGGCGGTGAATTAAGTTTAAATGGGAAACCTTAATTCTGGAATTTCCAAACCAACTGCTTAACTTTTCAACTGTAATGTTTATGTTTTGCAAGTTTCCCTAGTTCAGTTTTTCCCAAAACCAGTTGCATTATCTTCAAACTCATATGAGTGACATCACAGGCCTTGTTAACCTGTTGAAATGGCTGTAATGAATTGTGTGCAGTGGACAGTTATTCTTACGCTGTTTTTAATATTTTTAAGGCATTTAACAGATCACCAACCCGAGTAGGTATTTTAGTTGGATCCCCAGCAGGCCTCTTTTCTTTTAGTTTTGTCTCATTTCATTTTTCTTCATCCGTTAACTCTCTTAAATAATCATCCATCTTGTTTTGTGCTCCAAGCCTTAATATGATGTGTAGTTCTCCTTCTCAATGTATAGTGTAGATTGCCATTTCCTTTTTCTTTTACAGCCCATGGACTAGATCCAGCCAAGAATTGGATCTGGCCCACGGTGCTGGGGATTGGTGGCATAGGGTGTCACCTGATGTATGCCACCATGCATGTCTCTGATGTGTGCCATCAATCAGTGCCCCAGCCCTCCCTGCTTTCTGTCCAGGGCTGTTCTCTTGTTCCCCTATTGCAGCCTCCGTTTACCTCTGCTGCTGAGTCCGGCGTACACCATTGCTGTGGGCAGTGGGAACTGGTGGCACTTGTGGCAAGCTTAAGTGAAGGCTGCAGTAGGGTTGTGTGAGAACAGTTCTCACAGAGCTGGGAGGATGTGGAGGGGATTGGCAGTCTGCCATTCTGACAGGGTGTCATCCCCTGCTTTAAACTGTAAAAGCTGTCAAAATATGCATTTGGAATATCAAATGAAGATGCATTATTCTTTGAGATCAGCTTCAATATTACATGGTTCACTATCTGGAGTTCTCTAGCTTGAAATAGGACAGTGACTTTCTGCCTGGCTCTATTTCTCTTAGTTCTTACAGGACAGTTTTGAACCCAGAATTTTATTGGTTCTGCTGCTCAAATGTTTTCGGTGCTGTCACTGCTGGTACAGAAGTTGTGGGGAAAAGTTTATGGAAAATAAGTTGCTTTTTTAACTGCTTTCTATATGAAGGTGCTTAAGGCACTGAGCTGTACTTGCTGCAGTGTAACACTAGATGACAAGGTCTTGATGCATCTAAAGAGGTTGTCTGTGTTTAAATTAGAACCTGAATTCCTTAAATGTATCTTCTACACTTGGCTCGTGGAAGTGGTTATGAGTATCCTTTCATACTAGATATGACAGGTATGGACAGACAGGCACAAGTATTTGTTAACCCTTCCTTTGTGGAAAGGGGAGAACCCCTCTGACTCTCATAAATATGAATTGAAAGAGGATTAAAGTGCCCAACCACTGTGAGAAGGGCTTGTGTTTTCAAAATGCCAGGCTGAAAAACCACATCACTAAGACTCACTAAAACCACGAGTCAGAAGATCTGGCTGCTAAAGTTACAATAGGAGTTTGGAGCATATTTTCCTTTTACTTGTTTTTGAAAGGGATTATTCATAATTCTGAATTCAGGGTGCGGGGAAAAGAATGCTGTGCTTGGACCTTGGTGTATAAAGCCAATGTGACTTTCAATCAGTTTGAAAAAGGCAGTGTGGAAAATATGCTTCCAGATTTTTCTTGCAACTTAAATAGACTTTTGGCCATGGATGCAGGGTGTTCGCATGCAAAGTTTGTTTTTAGATTTACCTAATGTACGTTCTGTATATATTGACACCACTCATTTGTGTGCTCTCCTCTCTTTTTTGATCTTTTTGGGGACAGTTGGGAGCAGTCTTGTTTCCTCAAGATTTCAGTTACTTTTTTGTCTTGCAGTACATAAACAGCTTAATTTTTCTGTCTGTGTACTCACTTCAGATATTCAAATATATAAGCTACTAAAGTACCAGTAAAGAAGAGTGTTACCTTTTCTTTGCGCTGGATCAATGTAAATGGGACATGCTCCCTCTCTTGGGGGCGGTTGTTTCTGGTAAGTTGCTGGATTGGCTCTGCCATGTCTGCAATGAAATGATCATAAAATCATAGGCAATGAGGGTTGAAGGAACCTCAGGAGGTCACATCTAATCCAACCCCTTGCTCAAAGCAGGACCAGCCCCAGCTAGATCATCCCAGCCAAGGCATTGTCTACCCGGGTCTTAAAAACCTCCAAGATGGGGATTCTACCACCTCTCTGGGTGACCTGTTCCAGCGCTTTACTACCCTCCTCATGAAAGAGTTTTTCCTAACATCCAACCTAAACTTCCCTTGCTGCAAGATGAGCCCATTGCTCCTTGTCCTGTTATCTGCCACCACTGAGAACAGTCCAGCTCTATCCTCTTTCAAACAACTCTTCAGGGAATTGAAGAGTGCTATTAAATCCCCCTTTTCTGCAGACTAATAGGCCCAGCTCCCTCAGCCTCTCCTGACAAGTCATGTGTCCCAGCCCCCTAACCATTTTCATTACCCTATGCTGGACTCTCCAATCTGTCCACACCCTTTCTGTAGTGGGGGGCCCAAAACTGGACACAGGACTCCAGATGTGGCCTCACCAGTGCTGAACAGAGGGGAATAATCACTTCTCTCAATCTGCTGGCAATGGTCCTACCAATGCAGCCCAGAATGTTGTTAGCCTTTTGGCAACAAAGGCACACTGTTGGCTCACATTCAAATCCTTGTCCATTGTGACCCCCAGTTCCTTTTCTGCAGAGCTGCTGCGCAGCCTGCACCGGTGCTTGGGATTGTTTTGTCCTACATGCAGGACTTTGCACTTGTCCTTATTGAGACTCATGAGATTTCTTTTGGCCCAGTCCTACAGTTTGTCTAGGTCTCTCTTAATCCTACCCCTACTCTCCAGCATATTTGCGACTCCTTCCAACTTAGTGTTATCGTTAGACTTGCTGAGGGTGCACTCCATCTCATCTTCCAGGTCACTGATGCAGATATTGAACAAAACCAGCCCCTGGACCAACCCCTGGGGCACTCCCACTTGATACTGACTGCCAACTAGACTTCTAGCCATTGACTGCTACCATCTGAGCCTGACGATCCAGCCAGTTTTCTATCCCTGACCTTACGGTCAATTCATCCAGCCCATACTTCCTTAGCTTGGGAGAATGCTGTGGGAGGCCGTATCAAAAGCCTGGCTAAAATCAAGCTGTACCACAATCACTAGTCTCCTTGCATAGACCCAGTCATCTTATCATAGAAGGCAGTCGGGTTGGTCAGGCATGACTTGCCCTTGGTGAATCTATGCTGACTGCTCCTAATCACCACCTTTTCCTCCAAGTGCTTTGAGATGGATTCGTTGGGGATCTATCTGCTTCATCATCTTTCTAGGGACTGAGGTGAGGCTGATTGGCTTGTAGTTCCTTGGATCCTCCTTCTTTCCTTTCTTAATGTGCGCTATATTTGCCCTTTTCCAATCATCCAGGACTTCTACCAGTCACCACACGTTTTGTTTTGTTTTTTTCAAAGATGATGCCCAGCAGCTCTGCAGCTGCATCAGCCAAGTCCCTCAGCACCCTTGGGTGCATCGCATCTGGCCCTGTGTACTTGTACACATCCAACTTTTCAAAATACAATTTTCTCTGCCTTTACGCAGGTTCTGTATGTGCAAATTCACTCTTATGCGATGACTTTTTTTATACCAAAAATTCATTATACGTGAGGTAAGTTCACTCTTATGCAATTGGTGTGGTGGAAGCCTGCAGTCAGCTGCTTTGTGTGGTGCATTGTGGGAGTGACATGCACCCAAATATAGTTTCCCATGTGGATCTGTGCTCCTCGCTCATTGTCTGCGACACGTGTTTCTGTAGTTGCCATCCCCATTATGGCTTCTAAGCATCCCGCTAGCTTATCTTCTACCCCTCTCCCCGCTTCATCAATGAAGCGCAAGAAAATTTCACTAACACTGGGGACAAAAGTGGAGATTTTGAACTGTGCAAAAGCTGGTGAGGGGTCCTCTGCACTTGGTCGTGCTTGTGTGTACCATCTGCTGTTGGTGAGTACCAAAATTGTCTTGTAAAAGTGGTAGAAATGGGTCTGGGAGCCAGTAAAGTTGAGGTCTTGGAACGTATCCCTATTTGTTACATTGTAAAGTGGGTTCCCTTTATGCGAATTTGAGTTACCCGCTGTTTTCCAGGAATGCATGTACAGGTAGTCCTCGACTTACAGCGTTTCACACTTACAACGTTTATAAATTGACACCCTGTTTCAACTTTATGACATCAGTTTTGACTTTACAACGCTTGTTCGCTGGCGTGGCGTCGCATCGGATCATCTCCCTGGAGAACATCTGTCCCAACTGCCTTGAACACTTTCTTTAAGAAAGCAGACAAGACTCCAGCCAAGAACCCTTCAAAAAGTCTAACCAAGAGGCTTTCGAAAGTCCAGCAAAATCATCTTGAAGAAGTCCTTGCAAATCAATATGATTGCTATACAGGACCTCCATCTAATGCAGGAGGATTACGATCCCACTAGGGGGATGCCTTGCTGGACTTGGTGCTGGCTACGGGGGATGACCTGGTGGGGGGATTGCAGGTACAAGGCAACGTAGGGGATAGAGATCATCAATTGATTTAATTTAGTATCTGGTGAAGGGTGAGAAAAGTAACCAGGGCAGAAGTGCTAGACTTCAGAAAGGCTAACTTCAGTGTGCTCAGGAGATTAGTTAGTGGGGCATTAAAGCTCAAGAGTACTGACAAAATGGGGGTCCAGGAAGGGTGGTCGTTCCTCAAGGAAGCTAGCCTTCGCGCACAGAAGGAGGCAATCCCACTATGAAGAGAAGGGGGCAAAGGGGCCAAGAAACCCTCTTGGCTAAACATGGAAATCCAGGAAAGCCTAAGGGCAAAAAAGAGGCATACAGGCTGTGGAAGCAGGGGGTAGCTATCAAGGAGGAGTATACCTCCTTGGCACACACTTGCAGGGAATCAGTCAGGAAGGCCAGAGCAGCATTAGAACTAGGCTGGTGACAAAAAATAAGGACAACAAAAAGTCCTTCTTCAGCTATATAGGGAGCAAAAAGAAGGCGAAGGGCAGCATAAGACCCCTACAGGATAGACAAGGGGAGTTGGTGAGAGATAGGAGGGACAAAGCCGAGCTCTTCAATGAGTTTTTTGCCTCTGTGTTCTTGAGCTCTGATCTAGACAAATCTCCCAAATGCATTACTGACAGAAGCAGGAGAAATGCCAGCCTACTAAAGAGACACTTGGGGGTGCTGGATGTGTTTAAATCAGTGGGACCAGATGAGCTCCATCCACGGGTGGTGAAAGAATGAGTTAGTGTCATAGCAGAGCCACTGGCACGACTGTTTGAGCACTCATGGTGCTCAGGTGAGGTCCCAGAGGACTGGCAAAGGGTCAATGTGGTCCCTGTTTTCAAGAAGGGGAGGAAGGAGGATCCAGGTAACTATAGACCGGTTAGTCTCACCTCTATCCTTGGAAAAACCCTTGAAAAAATTATCAAGGATCACATTTATAGGAGTCCAGGGGGTAATATAATGCTGATGGGCAACCAGCACGGATTCATAGCAGGTAGATCTTGCCTGTACTAACCTTATTTCTTTCTATGACCAGGTCACTAAATGCTTAGATGCAGGAGTCGAGGTAGATGCCATCTACTTGGACTTTAAGAAGGGCTTCAACACAGTATCCCACCCTATTCTCATAAATAAATTGAATGGCTGTGCCATAGACTATTACACAGTCATGTGGGTGGCACCAGAGAGTGGTGGTGGATGAGCTGGTATTGACCTCGAAAGATGTGGGCAGTGGGGTCCCCCAAGGCTCAGTCCTTGGGCCGGTGCTGTTCAACATCTTCATCAGCGACCTGGATGAGGGTGTGGAAAGCACTCTGTCCAAATTCACAGATGACACCAAACTATGGGGCGAAGCAAACACACTGATGGGAAGAAACTGGACAGTTTAGAGAAGTGGGCAGAGAATAATAGGATGCAGTTCAACAAGGACAAGTACAAGGTGCTGCACCTAGGGAGAGGGAATCACCAGCACGCTTACAGGCTGGGGGATGACCTTCTCAGCAGAACAGCCTCAGAAGGATCTTGGAGTCGTTGACTCCAAGATGAATAAGAGTCGTCAATGTGACAAAGTAATTAGCAGAGCTGACCACGCTTTGTCATGCATTAGTAGGTGCATCACGATGCTCCCCTCTGTGCGGCACTGGTCATGCTGCAGCTGGAGTACTGCGTCCAATTTTGGGTGCCACAATTCAAGAAGGATGTGGACAACCTTGAGAGGGTCCAGAGGAGGGCCACTCATACGCTTAGAGGCCTGCAGGGGAGCTCCTATGAGGAAAGGCTGAGGATCCTGGACCTTTTCAGCCTCCGCAAGAGAAGGCTGAAGGGTGATTTTGTGGAAGTATACAAATTAACCGGGGGGGGGTGTGCAGCAGGGAATAGGAGATGCTCTGCTTACCAGAGCACCCTTTGGAATAACCAGAAACAACGGCCACAAGCTGATGGAGAGTAGATTTAGGTTGGACATCAGAAAACTTCATGGTGAGGGTTGCCAGAATCTGGAATGGGCTTCCAGGGGAGGTGGTGCTTTCCCCCTACCTTGGGGTCTTCAGGAAGATACCAGACAAGCACCTGGCTGGGGTCACTTGACCTCAGCTCTTTTTCCTGCCACTGGCGGGGGATTGGACTTGATGATCCATTGAGGTCCCTTCTGACCCTAGCACCTATGAATCTATAAAAAAGACATTGAGCACTTCAGCCTTGTTGCATCCACTGTCACTATAGGTTGCTTCCCCCATTGTTCAGGGAAAATACGGGTTCTTTACTAATCTTCTTGTTGCTGACATACGTGTAGAAACCCTTCTCGTTACCCTTCACGTCCCTTGCTAGCTGCAACTCCAGTTGCACTTTGGCCTTTCTGCTTTCATCCCTGCGTGTCCAAGCAATATTCTTATACTCCTCCCTAGTTGTTTGTCCAAGTTTATACTTGTGAACTTTCTTTTTCTGTGTTAGCTCACTGAAGAGTCTCCTGCTAAGCCAGGCTGG